CAAACCACTAATTTAGGAAGCCAAAACACAGCTCCTGTTTTGCTAACAACTACCATAATAATGAAGTGGTACTGAAGAGCATTTCAGAAGATTGACTGGCATTAAGATGCAACGGGATTCCTAAGTAACACAGAAAAACTTCAGGTAAGGCAATCCAGGGAAAAACGGCTGGCTACTGCCCAGCCCGTGAAAAGCACCAGGCACCAGAACCATGACAGACTTCAGCAGACTGCCACTGCACGCAGGGCAGCCACCGGACCTTGCAGGAGCTTCTGCCTTTGAGCCCCTGCCACCAGCACCCATGGGCGCCCAACTTCTGCCTCTCCCAGCGGTGCAGGAACTCTCACCAGCACTTGCTGAGGTGACCAGAAAGTCACCTGTTGGCCAGCCTTCCTTCATGAGGAAAAAAAACATGTCCCCTTGGCCAGCTGCTATTCATGAGCAAAAACCCAGCAGCTCTCAGGCTCTGTCTGGGTGTGCCCCGATGCAACTGGTCGCTCCCCCCTGCCCAGCCTCCAGACTCACTGGGATTGCCCCAGGCTGGTGGCCGGAGGAACCAAAATGGCTGCAGGCTGAGAGGGCAACGTCTCTCCCGCCGCGCCTACCCACAGCTTGCTGCTGGATGCCAGCAGCCCTGCCACCACCAGCCCAGCAGCAGCCGTTACGGCCTTCACCAGGTGGCACCACCAGGCCAGCCCCCTCAGCTCTGCCCCACCCGCGGCAGATGGGCCACAAGCCCAGAACCCCAGCCCTTCAGGAGTTCAAATGGACATTTATTTCTATAGATCACACATGGATTCATGACCTAATTTTTATACTCTTAGCTAGTAGTAGTACTCAAAGCTACTCCTTTCTCCAACAGGTTTCTCAAAGCCTCTGGAGCTTTCCAGAAAAGCTGAGAGTTGAGAGACCAAAGCAGATGAGAGAAGGAAGTTAGCAAGTCAGCTAGCACTAATGAACGCTTAAGACTGAATAGAATTAAGAATCTTTATAATATCATCAAACACGTTCAGCTGCAAAAAGCTCCTCTTAGAAAAAGAATTGGTCACAGAGCCGACCCTATTTATTTTTCATCAAAGGAACCTGAGGACAGAACTGCAAATCATTCTCTTGCGGTGGTATTCTCCCTTCAGGTTAAAGGGTCTCCAATACATTCAAGTCAAAGACATCCGAAAAGAAAATAGTCCTTGATCTCCAAGTGAAATATTTATTCTAAGGTGTCCAGTACTGTCTGAAGTAGAATGGAGCATTTCACCAAAAAATGTTAGTTATAAAGCTCACCTCGTATCTTTTGTGATAGAAACGAACAATTCTGCAAGCCACATAATAATTAAGCTGGCATTATCTTTATTTTTATATGAAAGACCATCACTTTTCAAAGGATTAATGCAATTTGTAGAGAATGGGGCAATATCAATACTTTTGAACTTCCCTAAAACAGATACAGCACCCAATAATACTCTATTTAAGAGGCAGCCTTTAACCCACACAGCTAGTACAAGATCACTATTAAATTCCTACCTGTAGTCTGTTTTACAAACACATATATAAATTCACAGCACTGATGCTTTAGTTTAGAAAGTTTTTAATTCTGTAGAAAATCCATTGATTAATTTTAAAATGAGAGCATCAAAAAGTCTTACAGCAGTACTAAGATTTAAGCTACAGAACGCTATAGATATCCTCCACACAACTGAAAATAACTGTGTGTGTTGTTTGCGTATGAAGATATTAAACGGTTACAGTTGCTACTTGCTATTTGCTAGAGGTCAATAGCTAACAACCATCAATAGCTTAGGGTCCCAAAGGAGAATTTGAAGTGAAGACGTATGCTTGTAGGAATCATTTCTCTCTTCTCCAGTTAAGAGAGCACATGGACACTATTACTCTGACAATGTTATCACACTACACACAATCAAAGCAAGAATTCTACTGCCAGATGAAACGCCCTAGCAATGCTCCTAAATGCTGTCAGTGCACTAGGGTGGCTAAGGTCGGCCAAGAGTTGGCCTCCCCAGCTATTTTGTTTCAGGAAAACTACACCAAATCAGCTGGAACACTGGACATGACCTTCCAGGAGGAAATATTATCAATACCAAATTCAAGATGCATGGGAATTAATAATTAGAAAATTAAAGATCTTGTAGTAAGGTTCTAGATCACGAAAAAAATAGGCCTCACTGACATCTGTTCAGTTTGAAGTGCATCTAAAGAAATTAAACCATAGCTACTGTTAAAGTCTAAAGAAATTAAACCATAGCTACTGTTAAAGTACACATCAACAACTTCCAGTTAACTGTCTTCAGCAGAGACTTGTACAGCACTGAAGTCAGAGGTTCAGCGATTCTTGAAAACAAGACCGTTATGACCTCAGCTACCTCACACTGCCTCCTTATCATTACTAGGGAACTCACCAGAGTTGAATTAACTTCCTTAAACTCTGTAAATATTCAAAGCCAGAAGTGTTTTTTTGCTATACATGGACTTTCAGAAAGCCTAGATGACTCCTCTTCTGGGGGCCGTTGAGATCTTCAGGTAAGAGGGAGGACTAAAAAGAAAGCACATTGTTTCCCATTATCAAGTCAGTCAAAATTTGTTTCTGTGTTAAAATTAGAAAACATTTTTATGACATTTGTAATGTTTTCTAGCTTGAACTATTTATTTAAAAAAAAATAAAATCTATTACTATAAGCCATTTACTTTGCATAGGTCTCAAGGATGTGTATTCTCTGAGTATCAACAGACCAGGTATTAAATATGGAACTTTAACCTTCATTCATGCTTACCTCAGATGTAGCATTCAAAAACAATTCCAGAGCCTTCTGTTTATGTTATTTTTTATCTTTTTAAAAAGTTCTTGAAAACATAAATACATATACACACACCCAGTAGTGAAACCAAACACAAGTAAAAGGTTAAGTCAGTCATATTTTCATACCATGTAGTTTATCTTGGGAGGAAAAAAGTTACACTAATTTTCCCAGCAGGATTTACACAGACCACCTTATCTGTGTGTTTAGCTTCCCTACAAAAACACCAGTTGCTCAGCTGGGACACATTTATTTGAGACACCTTTTATGTGATATTGTAGCTAGAAGGAAGAGAAGTCGGCACTGTGTGACAGGGAAGCTTTCCACTGATTTGAGATGAGAGTATGCCAGGACAGAGTGTCCTATCTGTTTTAAAATAAATCATTTCACATAGGAGAAATGGACAGCCTCTGATAATGCATCCTGAAACCCCAAGAGTTTTCCACTAGGAAAATCTACCAATTACCTCCTAGCACATAAATTCTTCCTTAGGATTTCTAAATTAGGGAAGGTTATTGATCAAGGCTTGTTACACCCTTTTTCAGATATATTTGGTATTTATGTAGACAAGATGCTGGACTACAGTCACCACTCCTCTGCTTAAAACAGTTCCTACAATAAAAAGCAAGATGGGGAGTAAGTCTGTTACATCAATCATACTTTAAATGCTAAATGTATTATTAAACACACTTTGATATCTTTCCATTCAGGTTCTGAGTGCAAGTCCTTTGGGTCTTTCTTACAAAAGAGAAGTAAATCAGTCCTTTCATAAGTTGAGATGTTTTTGCTAAATGAAAACATTTATTTCAGTACTATAATTTTTTCCCCCCGTCACCACTACTACAGCTCTTCTGTTCTAAAAAAAAACCAAAAAAGCAAATAAAGGTTTTAGCATTTTGTACCCCACAATAAATAAACTAAGACTGTAGTAGAGATTAGTGTCAATATTCAATAAATGAAGCTTCACTACAACATTTGATCCACTGTGCATTACTGAATCAAGATGACTTAAGATTTCAATTAAGGAAAATAAGCAAGTATTTTTGGTTTTACAATTTCAATTTTAATACAATTCAAAAAAAAAAAAAGGTAAATGTTATGCATGGCAATGTTTATTAAACAATCACATTTCATTTAAGCATTAAAATGCAGCAGTCTGGAAAAGCTGCCAGAAACAATGTTTGGCTTCAGAAAAGGCGATTATGAAATTACTTCCAATAAAATTCAAATACTCTCGTCTGTTGATTAGTTGAATGCTTTAGACTGGAAGGAACAAAAAGTGCAAATCAGCTGAATGTTACTTCAAAAGTAAAGTCTTAGTGTCCTACAAGCAGTTACTGAAAGGCCTCACCTCAATCTTCATGATAAAGGACAAAATTCTCCAATTTTTATACAATTATAATTTACTGTAACATTTCAAACAATGTAACATTATTACTAAAACAAAATTAATTTCAGGATATAACTGCAGTATTCTGTCTACCGTGAGCACCTTTTTTTCCTTTTTTTTTTTTCCTTAAATCTGATTTGCTTGACATGAGATGGCATGAGATACATTCTCACCGCAAAACTGGAAACTTACACAGAACAATACAGTTACAACCACTTATAGGAACATGTTCCAGCTTAAAGTAATTTACACCTAAACATATTACTTTTATGTGAACATCTAAGATTCATATTGTGGTATTCTGTTTCTGCTGATACTTTCAGGAAAATTCTCCAATTTTTATACAATTATAATTTACTGTAACATTTCAAACAATGTAACATTATTACTAAAACAAAATTAATTTCAGGATATAACTGCAGTATTCTGTCTACCGTGAGCACCTTTTTTTCCTTTTTTTTTTTCCTTAAATCTGATTTGCTTGACATGAGATGGCATGAGATACATTCTCACCGCAAAACTGGAAACTTACACAGAACAATACAGTTACAACCACTTATAGGAACATGTTCCAGCTTAAAGTAATTTACACATAAAAATATTACTTTCATGTGAACATCTAAGATTCATATTGTGGTATTCTGTTTCTGCTGATACTTTCAGGAAAGAGACTCATCACAGTAGCTAAATGTCAACCTGCAGCTTAGCTGTTTGCAAAAGGATTGCCCTTTTGCACATCATCTTTCTTGGAGGACTTGTAAAGATATCAACAAAGGTTAACAGGTAACATTTGACATAAGGGCAAATTTTAACCATTTAAAAATTATTTTTAATTTTTTTTTTTCATTCAACACAATGATTCAGTGGCAGTTTGAAATAAACACGGAGTATCTTTCTGACTTAAATCACTTGAGAATCACTTCATATATAGAGATAGTGAAAAACAGTGTGATTATCATCTTATAAAGGCTTAAGAATAAACTGGCAATTTGCAATTTGTTCTTGTAAAAATCTTTAAACATATTGTGGAAACATGTTCTTACATGTGGGTACTGCTGCTTGAAACTGAACAGTTGGTTGACATCCAGACAACTACTACAATTTTCGAAACGCAAAGAAGCTTATAAGCATAATAAACAAATGGTCATTTTGCTAAAATTTAAACCTAATTTAGTAATTTGTAGAATGACACTTTCAAACTGTGCAATACAAAATAATGTAGCCAACAGTAACATACAGGTACACCATTTAATATTTATTATATGCATTTTATATACATTATTTTTCAGCAGCTGTACTTTTGCTATGTGGTACAATCTTAAAAATTTGCTGATTCATAGTTTGTAAAACAGAAACCTTACAAAACTCATCAAAACTCGCAAACTGATCAGAAAAGTTTTGTGGAAGACTAGAAAAAATACTTTATTGTATTAATCATGCATTACACAAACAAAATCTTTAGTTACACCATAAACTGAAGCACATCTGAAAATAAAAAGCAGGGAATAACTAGTCAAAACACAGCAGATTTATGAATCTTGAATCCACTACTTTTGTACTCTATTTGAAACACAAATAAAAATATTTTTCACTCCAAAAGTTCTGAAACAAGATTGGTTTTTGGAATCAACTCCACTCCAGGTAGTTAACCAGAGGAAAAAAATTCTTGGTTTGCAACTTTAGAATTCTCAAATGTCCCATTTTTCTCACCTATTTTAGACTGTGCCATAATAGATATACAAGGGCCCTTTAACACGCTACGTAAAAGGATATAAAGACCAACAAAAAGTGAAATAAATAACAATAGGCCATTAGCAAGATGGGTAATCCTTGATAAATAAACTCGTAAATACAGTAAGATGTACAAAATATCACATAGTGATAGGATGCCAAGATTAATTTTTTTTTTTAAAGAGTTCATTCGGGGGTGTTAACCCCTCTGTGTTTCATCTGAACACATTTTACAGTCCTTTATTTATGAAGACAGTTATGCGATGATGATGAATTAGCATCCTTAGGCAAGGACTTAGCTGAGCTGTATTAGGCAAAAGAAGGGAAGAGTGTGGTTACACGGCAGCGGGTCAGTGAGATCTCTGTGTTTTAGGGTTCTATAATGCAGAAAAACATTATCAATACAATCTTGAGCACTGTTGTGACAGGCTAAATATATAAAAAGACTTATAAAAACTAGAATTTTATCCAAACATTTTGTGCAACTAATGCTAAAATATTTTAAGTTAAATTTCCTTTTCTTTAAAGCAAAATAAAAGTTTAAAAGGGGAATCTGTGGCATTCAACTGATAAACAGAAGATTACTAAGAGATGAAAAGAAAGCTACTCTTGGAGCTCACTCCCCCCGACAAGAGCACCACATTCCTAACCCTAAGGCAGCACACAGAGTCCAAAATAAAAGTCTTTTGTAAGATCAGACTCCACGTTTGCTTAAAGACACCTAAAGAACAGACATACGCTCAGTTCATATCCAGTCAAGGCTACAAATACTGGTTTTCTTTTTTGTATTTCTCCCCACCCCCCCAAATACAGTAATCACAGATAAATGAATGAGCCTGACATTGTTCAAGATGTGGTGACTTCTCACCAACTTCTACCTGCCCCCCATCAGAGCCTTCACCCAGGCAGATCAGATGTAGTGTCTTATTGGTAACCTTATCATTGATGGCAGTGATGCATTCCCTCTTTTTTGTCCAAACAGACCTGCTGTTATGATGCAGGTTTGTTCTGCTATGTCACACAAACACTTTGGCAAGGGCATCAGCTCCTGCACTGGCAATATATGCTTTTGATGGATGAAATGCTACATCATAAATTGATTCATCCAGCTTTTTCCTATGAGCTGTTATTTCTTGCACACATGTCTTGCTGTCCAAATTCCATAACCTAATGGAACAATCATGGCCTGTTTAGGGGGGGAAAAAAGACAAAAGGCAAAGTTAGATTTGTTAGACACTTAAGTGCACCATAAATTCAAAATTCATAGAGCATACAGAAGATTAAAAACCCCTTACTTCCAGACATTAAATAGATTCCATTAGGATCTACAGCTAGACTTGTGACAGCATCCAAGTGAGCAACCATAGAATGAATCATTTTACCTAAAAAGCAAAATAAACAGTGAATTTCCTCTAAAGTATTGTTTCTTTTAAAAACAGCATTTCCATTAAATGCAATATAGAATAATACACTTATCTAGATTCCAGTAATATCAGAATGATACAATTTTATTAGAAATTATTAAGTTTCAACTGCAGACTCTTGTATAAGCATGGCACACAACTCTCAAATAGGCATTGCCATTACAAGCACTCTTTTTATCCATTTGGTATCTCTACACGTAGCAATGTCAACGAAGACCAATCCTAAAATAACCATGTAGGAACCTAAATTTTCAGTCCCTTAAATGTCCTAATACCTGCCCCAGTTGGATAAAGTATTGATGAAGCTTCTTCCAAAGAGACCTACTGAGTCATACCAAAGGTCCAATCTAACTCTGTCATTGCTAGGAGGGAGGCTATCGGTGATAAACCAGGGAAGAAAATAAAAACAAGGCAACCCAGAATACTCTCCAGATTCAGTTATGTCACAAACCAGAGGTGTTATCTCTGCATCCACCTGCTCTCAATGCATTTCTTTTCAGTGACCTCCATTCTAAGACTCTTAATAACATCTTCTAGCATCTTACCATGCTTTTTGGAAGGAGTTCCAAAATGTTTAACTGCACATTCTAAGAACAGCCACCTCTTTGTTTTGAGCTTGTCACCTGTTTGGGGCTATCAACTGAACTTTTGTTCATGTATTGGAAAAAGATAGCAAGAAAACCCCTATAAGACCATGACTAACATGAAAAAGGCCTATCATCTTTGCCCAGTTGTCTGTTTTCCTGAAGAATCTCAGCCTCTTCAGTTTCTAAGATACTTCCTGAAGAAATTAAAAGCTACTGGAGGTCTTTGATCATCTTTTTAACCATTCTCTGAAACATTTTAATTTGGCTATATCCCTTTCGAGATACGGGAGACTGGAGTAACACAAACTACACATGTGGATACACCAAAAAAAATCACACAAAGGTGAACACTGATTTTTTTTTTTGTTTGTTTATTCCTTTCCTTCCTTCTAACATTCATTTTTGCTGTTGTGACTGCTAAGCACTGAGCTGACATTTTCATCCAAACTCTTCTTCTAACTCTACCTTCTTCTAACCTTGAGTAAGAACAGTCAGCCCAGTGATTATTATTTTGTCTTATAAAGTCTGTTTTTCCTTACATGCATTGTTTCACATTTGTCCACATGGAATTTAATTTGCCTGCTCTTAAGTCTGTTAAGATCTTCACTTCTTCCTCATTAGCCTTCATCTTTAATACCCTGAATTAATAAATGTCAGTAAACTGTCAATACACCAATTCCTGTCCAGACAATTAATGTTATCTTGAACTAGTGCTAATCCCTGCAGGACATGGTAATTTTTTATTTTGCAAAATGACCATTTACTTCTACCTTGTGTTTCCTGTCTTTGACCTAATTATTTGTTCATGCAAGATTTTCTCCTTATTCTACGTCTCTGTTTCTTTAAAGTTTAATTTCAGGACAATCACTGCAACGCATTTAATGACCACAATTCTAAGACATACATTCATGGCAGGTGAGAAGGGGATAAAAGGTCTTAAGTTTTTTGCTTTTAAAAAAAAAAAACACAACCAAAAACCAAACAAAAAACCCCAAAACACCCCACCCCACCCAAACCAAACCAAACCACACAGAGTTAAAACAGGGGTTTAACACATGTGCTTATTTAAAGGCAACTTAAACCAATTTGTGGTTTTTTTTCCTTCCAACTTTGGTAGGATAACATGCAGGAAGTGACTGATAATTTGACAAACAGAAAATATATGTTTGTTCTTACAATTATGTCTATCTTTTTGTCATGGCAGACTGTGCAGTTTTTCTCTATACTCTACTTTCCCCTCTTTTCTCCAGATCCTTTTCTGTTTTATAAACTTAATCAGCAACTTAAGTATACCACAGGATTCCATTACTACAATGACTTTAGGGTTATTTCTTGCCCTAATAGGTACTGCGCAACGCTCTTTACTACTAACAGTTGAAAACCATAACTTATATATGCTTAGAGCTAAAATCATGGAAATAACAACAGGAAGAAAACGGCAGATATATTCTGTAAATTAGCACAGCACTAACTTATACGGACCTTCTTGTCATTCACAACTATATCTACCTGTTTTGAAAGAGTATTTTCTGACCGCTGAAGTCACAATTGCAACACATATCACTGTTTCATAGAAAACGTACTGAAGAGGCTTAATCTTACAAACAAGAAAAGTTCTCTTCTGTAAAACTGCATCACTAGTAAGTTTTCTACAAATGCATTCTCCCTATGTCCACCCAGATTTACTTCAAACATATTCATACATACAAGTTTGGTTCTCTTTATCCTTACCCGTTTTGTTGTCAAAAAATTTGATGTGTCTATCTTCATGTGCTGTAATAGTTACAGGAAGTGTAGGATGACTTACTACCTTGTTAATATGATTATTTGATTGTACACCTGAAAAAAAAAAAAACAAAACAACATTCACCTGCCTTAAAGAAAGGATTAAAGTTAAAAACAAGACTATTTTCAGCATTACACTTTAGCCTACTATATTAACTAATATTATATAATTACACAGAATCACAGAATGTTTGGGGTTGGAAGGGACCTCTGTGGGTCATCTAGTCCAACCCTCCTGCCAAAGCAGGGTCACCTACAGCAGCTGCACAGGACCTTGTCCAAGCGGGTCTTGAATATCCACAGAGAAGGAGACTCCGCAACCTCCCTGGGCAGCCTGTTCCAGGGCTCCATCACCCT